GTCTATCTGTAGGGTTTAGGCTGTAGGGTTCGGGGCTTTGTTTTCAACCTCACAACCTCACGGTCTGGTTGTGGTTTTCTTAGCTGCAGAACTTGACTGGCTGTCGGTCAACTGGCTGCAGGCGACGATGTTCCAAACCGGATGCCGCACCTTCCACGGTGGTCTCGATGCGATTCTTGAAAGTCGCAGGAATCTCGGAGACCTGGTTCAGGGTTTTTGTCTTGCAGGGCTAGAACTATGCATGCAGCGAAAAGGAAAACCGACAAGGGTTCCAGGTTTAGGGTTTAGGCTCAGGGTGGAAGGCTCAGGGTTTCGGGTTTGGCAGTGCGACGCGAGCGTTGCCACAGTCTGCGTGCAAAATCGCCCACTGGCGGAGTCAACTCAAAGTCAACCCAATGCCGAAAACACTGCAATGACTTTAGTTTCGCTCAACACGGAAAAGACGTCCGAACATAATTAAAGTCTTAACCCAGTGGCTCAACACAATATCTACAGTATTTACGTTGTCGAAGTCCCAAGTCTTTCGCGCCCTGCTAACACTGACACATGTACTACGTTGTATTGTAGTTGCAGGCGTTGTAACACAGTGTTTCCAAATCCCTGCGCATCCACCGGCTGCATCTGGTTCTGGTGCCCATACACCTTGCTACGTGTAGAAATCCGTCCTCTTGCATCCTCGCCGCACACGATAACTAACAAGTATTGACTTCGTCTGCAGTATGTGTTGCCCTAAAGTGTATTGCCCTCACCAACCGGGGCAATGGCAAACTCCTGTTCAACACCTCCGCTGGAACCGTACTTGGGTTTAGTGCGCAAGCTTGCTAAAAACCCTCTCCCACATGAAACCGACATCGCCGTGCTGCCAAGTCGCAGTCTCGATCATACTACTCCGGCCGGACGTGGAGGCAAGCGCCTTGAGATCTCAAACTGCTCAGAACCAACAAGGGGCTGGCTTAGGCCGTAGATTGGCGTAGATGGTTCAGGGTTGTGGGATTTAGAGAACCCGCCGAACCCTGTCCTGCCCGGAACTCAACAGGTTAGGGTCCAAGAGCGCAGATGCTTCAGGCTTATGGGCTTTTCGGGAACCCTGCCAAACCGTGTCCCGCAGAAGCGGCGTAGCCGTGCTGCCAGGGATCATTTTCCATCAGCCTCGGGCCGGACGTGGAGGCAGGCGCCTTGAGACATACGCACTGCCGAGAAGAATTCAACAAAGGTTATTGGCCCCCGCATCGCAAGCCGAGACACAGGAACAAGGGTGTCAAGCACAAGCACGGTTCGAAACACGAGAGCACCGATGGAGCCATGATCACGAAGATACGACAAAACCAAGCGAGAAAGGTATATCACACTTGATCATCGCAGAGTGCGGAAACGAGAGGCAACCATGAACTCCAATGCACCCTTCACCCCGGAATCAGAACCTGCTCTCACCCCTATGCACTTCCAGCCTTTGGCAACTTGCGCCGTGGGATGCTGGTGATGTTGGTGCCCTCGGGCAGGAAATTTCAGAGCCCGCCGATGGACAGTTTAGCTGAAAGCTCCGGGCCGTTTCTTGCGGTTTGCCTCCAACCTGGCCAAGGGTGTTACAGCTTTGGGGATTGTGGCATCGGGACTCTGGAAAGGCGGGATTTGGGGGGTGTGGGGCTATGGACTCTTGGGCTTGAGGACCGGTGCGTTTTAGCAGGCACAGTGCCAAAAACCCAGAAATTCTTTGCCTTCTTGAAAGGGCGCTGGAACTTCTCACCGGCTTGTGACGGAATCGCCTGCCGGAGAAAGTTGCCGTTTGGCAAATGTTTCAGGCTTCAAGCTTGTGGTGGCTTTAGGGTTTAGTTTGCGGATGTTGGGTGTGAAATCTCTGGTATCTTGCAGGTATCACACAGATGCCATGTACATGTGAGACGCCTTGACCACAGCTTTGCTGTCACGCGACTGGCTCAAGCGAGCGCAAAACATCTTCGACGTTGCCAGTGCATTCTTGCACTGGTAGCGGAGCGGTAGACCGCTTTCGCCAAGGGCCTTTACGCCCCTGCGCCTCCATATGCCATGGCTGCTGGCACTTTACTCGACAGCCTGAAGTTTGCCCACTTCACCCATGACCAGGATGAAGCTGGTGGCGCGGCTACCGAAGGCCGCAATGGTGTGCCTCGCTACAATGGCGATGCATCACGCTTGAATGAATGGACTTTCCGAGTTCGGATGCTTGCCCAGAAGGAGAAGACGATGAGCGATAGTGAAGCAAAGAAACTGGGCAGCCTCCCTTTGAGACTGGTGGAAGGACTGAGCGGACAAGCCCTGAAGATAGCCCAGCAGCTGGATGTGAGCAAGTTGGATACGACAGACGGAACCGACTACCTCATCGAGAAGATCTCTTCGGAACTCCGACCTCGCCGTATGCAACAAGCTCGGGAACTCTATGAGGCTGGAGCTCAGCAGGGCGGAATGTTGTCCCGCCAACATGGCGAAAGTATGTCTCAGTACATACTTCGGCGGAAAGCTTGGTACAGGGCGATGACGGATCTCAGCAGTGACCTCAAGCTGCCCGACATCGTCTTGAGTGAGCAGCTCCTCTTGAACTCCGGCCTGAATGATGATCAGAAGCTGATGATAAGAACAGTGTGCGGAGACAAGATGAGCTTCGACAAGATCGCCGAGGAGCTGGTGAACCAACACCCCCGCATCCACGAGAAGAACAACTACCAGCCGCATCACTTCCGGCGGCCCGACTTCCGAGGTTTCGCCAGGACCTCTCCTTCCACCAAAGGACACAGCAAGGGATACAAGCAGAAGCCGAGGTACTACAACGCCTTCCATGCGGACGGCCAGGACGAGGAGAACTACTACCCGGAGACGAACGACGACCAGCACTACCTCGACGCCTCGGACTTCCTCAACGAAGAGACAGACGGCAACATCGAGAACACCGTCTACTTCTCCGATGCAGAGATCGGAACCTATGCCGAGGAGCATTTGGCTTACTTGGCGGATGGTGGACTGGACATGGAGGATCCGGAAGCATGTGAGTTTGCTTCGGATCTCATCCAGTCCGAGCAAGACGCGTACTTTGCCCGAAAAGGAGCACAGCAGAAAGGGCACGGAGGTTTTGCGAAGAACAATGCGCCCCCTTTCGAGATCAGTGGATCTATCAGTCATGACGACAAACGGGCGCGCCTTCGGGCGCTGAAAGCGCGGACCACCTGCAAGCGATGCGGAGCAGTGGGACACTGGTCGGGCGACTATGAATGCCCGCTGTCAAAGGGCAAGAGCAAGAAAGGTGGCGGCAAGGCCTCAACCTCCATATCGACCTCCTCCACTACTGGAACCTCACAGTACTCTGGAGGCAAGGGACGACACGGGAAACCGAGTCGACCCAGAACGGTCTACTTTTCCATCTGAGACCACAGCCAGCCACCCGACAGCGAACCTGGCCTATCGACGTGAACAAGCTGCAGCCCTTCAGAATACCCCGCCACAGGCCCGCCAAGACTGGTCGATCGCCCCCTCTATGCGAGCAGTACCTCCTCCAGCAGCTCTGTTGGAGGGACAGGTCATCACCACGAACAACCACGAGGACCTCAATGACAACTGGAGTGTGGTGATCCCCTCGTCGACCGAAGGATCCCCGGAGCATGGACAATGGTTGCCTATGGAAACGGATGATCCGGAGATGCAGGAAATCATGGATGCTTTGGCCATGGATTCTCTAGCACCGGAACCAGCCCGCGAGAACGAGAGTGTGCTGGCAACGACCGGAATACCTCCTCTACCACTTCGTGATCGACCACTACCTCGCCATTCGGAAGAAGCAACCACTGTCGCTCCGGTTCTCTCTCCGACTCCGACGGCCCCAGCAACTTCCTCTACTACGACATCGGGAGCCGCACAAGCCCTACGTGATCCACCACGACGCGAGTGTCAACATCTACGCACAACGGCGCACGGTTCGAACAGCTTCGTGCACCAGGTGAAGTGCAAAGACTGTGGTTTTGTGATATCCCGCACTCGCCGGGACCAAGCACGGCCGGCAACCACTACGACCTCTCCTGCGACTACAACGTGCCCTCACCACTGGACAACCTGGAGAGGATCCAACGGATCCATGCGCATCCGCACCTGCAAGGACTGCGGACACAGAGAAAGGTTCGAGATCACGGCAGGATTGGCCGGACCATCGGACCCATCTCGAGATCTACGACAAGCACAAGGATCCCACTCAGTGAACACCCGCTACTTCGACGACAGCCTGCCGATCCCCTTGGATCGTATCCCGACAATCCTCCACACCTTCCAGGAGATTGTCACTCGAAGAGTACAAGAACTGACAGAAGGCACGGAGGTGCCGTCACAACGTCTCCACGAAGCTCTGGACCTCTCCATAGCTACCGGAACGGCATGGACGACATCGCCTACGACACCTCCGAGGACATCGCCTACGACACCTCCGAGGACCACGACCTCTACTACCCGCTCTTATGGAAGTGAGAGGCACTATGGCGAGCCGGAGCACCACAGGAACCTCAAGGCCAGAGGACAAAAGGTCGTGGAAATGGGACGTTACAAGCACGGGAAGTACGAGGACGCCTACGCAGACACCGCCTACCGCGCATGGGTGCTGGAGAATATTGGAACCACCAGTGCTTCCGGAATGAAGGCCTTGAAGAACTACTTCGAAGAGCGAATGAGCTACGAACGGCAGCCGGATTCCGTAGCTCTCATGGCCTACCACGAGAACTCCGACCACATCGAGGAGCACGATCTCATCGCCATCTTGGACACGGGATGTAACCAAACATGCCACGGCGACAGATGGCTTGAGCGCTACATCAAGGCCACCAAGCAAACGATGCCCGAAGCCGACACCACCTCTGAGGTTCGCATCCGTGGCATCGGTGGCCACATCAGGACGGCTGGCTCTCGAAAGCTACCCCTGATCCTCGAGCTGGTCAATGGGGGACTAGCGCAAGGAGACCTCACCAGTACGGAATTGGTGGACTCGGATGCCCCTCTCTTGATCTCAGTGCAAGCTCAAAGATCACTGGGTCTCATCATCGACATTGCCGGCGAAGTGGTGCACTCTCAAGCACTCGGACACGACCTCAAGTTGGCCTACAAGGACGGCCTCTTGGGCATCCGACTGTTACCGGGTGAAGAAGCATGTGAGCAAGAGGGCCCCGAGGACTTCGAGAATACCACAAGAAGGACTCCAGCGAAGACGAGGAGATGATCCCGGCGCAGGATGACAAGGCCCGGGAACCCGACACCGATGTCGCCTACTACACCTTCGACGCGGAGAAGGCCAAGGTCATGAACAAGACACAGCACGCCCGAGTACGAGAAGGAGTGGAAGGTGTCAAGTCAAAGGATCGTCACCTGTGGAACCAGGTCAAGCCGAACAAGGCCCGCCGCAACTATGAGTTGCCCAGAGGATGCAAAACCTTCATCCTCGAAGTGTTTGCCGGGGCAGCCATGCTTACACAAATGGCCCTCCACGAGTGGTCCATGCCGGTTACTCCCCCGGTGGACCTGAACACTGGCTTCGACCTCCTTACGAAACAGGGGCGAGACGAGGTCGACCGCATCATCGAGCGCGACGACCCCTTCGCCATCACCTTTGCGCCAGTGTGTACGCCATGGACCTCTTGGACCAACATAGCCACCGGCGAGACCAAGTGCAAGATCATGGCGGAACGCAAGAGATGGCAGCCCACTCTGGCTTGGATGTACGATGTGGCAAGGTCACGCTTGGCCAAAGGCCGCCACGTGATTATCGAGAACCCTTGGAACTCTGCCATGTGGGACTGCTCCCACTCCCGCAGGTTCTTCCGTGGGTTTCCCCGCGACCAGGCCACCTTGGAGCCCATGGAATGTGTCAAGATTGATCAGTGCATGCTTGGCCTCAAAGACGAGATCAATCACCTTCCTCACCTCAAACCGACCGGGATTCTCACGGCTTCCAGTGAAGTCAAGAAGCGTCTTTCTTTGGCCAAGTGCGATGGAATGCATCTGCACCAGCAACTCGACACCAAGAAACGCTGCGTTGGTGCACAGGCTTGGCCAAGAGACCTGTGCTCTAACCCCATCCAAGGCTTGATGGCCGAGCTCGACTACCTCCTCACCATGGTGGCTTTTCCGGCGGAAGCCGCTACTGAGCTGGAGATCTCCTCCGATGACGAAGGCGAGGAACGCACCTACTTGGACGGCATCCTCACGGCCGACGACGAAGCCACAGCTGCAGAGCCGGACTACGCAGAAAAGAAAAAACAAGAAGAGTGGGAGATTGTCTATGACGAAGGCGAGACCCCGGCACCACCGCAGCCCATTGGCGATCTTCCCCAACGGCGACAACAACAATGGCGACAGCTCCCGTACAACACCCGAGTCGCTCTACGTCGATTTCACCACATGACCGGCCATGCACCTCCCTCAGCGATGCAGCGACTACTAAGGACAGCAGGAGCAGATCAACAAGCCATCCGAGGCTTGGAAAACTTCCGATGCGCCACCTGTGAAGCCAAGAAACTTCCGGACAAGGCCTCTCCTGTCAAAATGCCAGAAGAGTACAAGTTCAACAAGGCCGTATCGTTGGATGTTTTCATCGTCAAGGACTCCTTGAACAAGAAGTACAAGGTGATGTCCCTTGTGGATCTGGGAACACTCTTCCATGCTGCTGTGATCGTCGGCGAAGGAGGAGGACCGCCGAGCTCATCGGACATGGCAAGGGCAATGCAGATGGTCTGGCTCTCTTGGGCTGGACCACCAGAATCCATTGTCTTGGATCGAGGACTCGAGAATCGAGGACAACTACAGAAGCTGATGACCGCCCACGGCGTGCTCCTGCGGTACATTGGGGTAGAAAGCCCCTTCCAGCTCGGCAGGGGAGAAAGACATGGCGGAATCCTCAAGGAAGTGATCAAGGCCCTGGTCACCTCTCGCCAACTACGAGGACGTCAAAACATGGAATTCGCCGTGACCGAGTCCGTGGGCATCAAGAACCACCGAGTAAACCACAATGGCTTTTCTCCCAGCCAATGGGTGCTGGGGAGGAACCCACCGGACTTAGAGTCTCTTACTACCCTGATGCCGGAGGCCAAGCTCGGCATCCATCAGGAAATTCTCGATGGAGAGACCAGCTTTGCCCAGCAGATGATGATACGTGGAGCGGCCAAGGAAGCGTTCTCTCAAGTGGACAGCTCCCAACGCATTCGAGCTGCCATGCTTCGCAAAAGCACTCCAGGACGAGGTCCTTTCCACATGGGCGATTTGGTTTGTTTTCATAGACGTCAAGGTGGCAAGGCTGGCTGGAAATGGTTCGGCCCCGCCAGAGTCATCGGGCAAGAAGGTCGAGGAACTTTATGGATATGCCACGGCGGTATACCAATGACAGTGTCTGCGGAACAATGCCGACATGCCACCGGAAATGAGATGATGTCCAAGCGGATGCTGGAGCTACGACCGTCACGGAAAAGGCGGAGAGAAGACATGGCCGCCGACGAGGACGCCGGCAAGTTCGAGAACGACGACCCCTTCCTGGACGATTTGATTGGAGTAGGAAGTGTGGCCGAGAATCAGCAACAAGGATTCTTCGACCTCCATGACCACCCGAGCGACTACTCACCTTCGATGCCACCGGAGGCAGGGACGGATGGACAGGAGATACATGGACTTTATCCACCACCACCTGGACTCTTACCTGGACCACCAAACGCCATCGTGAACGAGACTACTCAGCCGGATGATCTCTCTGCATCAAACCAGATTGATACAGATGGGCAGGAGATACCTGGACTTCAAGCACCACCACCTGGACTCTTACCTGGCCCCAGCCATAGTATCTTGCCGCCAGATGGAGGTCACCCACCGGCAATGCCGGATGTACCAGACAGCAGTGTGGGGTCCCCAACGATGTCCATTGGAGAACCGGAGCAGGAGATCGTTCCTCAGAGCCGTGAACAGAGTGGCCAACCTGATCTACTACGTCCCGCAGCGCAAGGGATCACACAGCGACCAGCACAGGACCCTCCGGATCAGCGCACTCTACAGCAAGCATTGCGCATATCCCCAGATGCTCTTGATGGGCTCTCACGCAACCGCTACAGATCGAGATCGCCACCACGGGCAATGATGACCGTTGCTGAGCAGCCGGAGGCTGGGAAATGCATCAATGGATTTCTCGCCAGACGAGTCAACAAGAAGAGTGCTGCAGCCCGGGCGAAAGAGTTGAACTTCAAGCGTTCTACAGGTGCCGAGCTCGAGGGCATCCAAGAAGCGAGGACGAAAGAGTGGAACAACTGGCAGGGCTTTGACGCAGTTGACATCATCTCTCCCGAGCAGGTGCCAGACGTCATGAAGGAGTTTCCGGATGCTGAGATTACGCCGACAAGATGGGTGGATGTCAACAAGGCACAGCCATGGGAGCCCCCCAAGTACAAGTCCCGCATCGTAGTGCGAGGAGACCTCGAGAGCGGCGCCTCTACACGTACGGATTCGCCAACTTGCTCATCCACTATGTTGGGCCTGCTGCTATCCTTCACGGCGAATCGGGGAGCTCGGCTGCGGGGAGGTGACATTACGGCATCCTTCTTACAAGGAGAGAAGTTGGTTCGAGTACTACTTCTTCGTCCACCTCCCGGCGGACTTCCTGGAGTTCCTGAAGGGTCTCTACTACGAGCATTGAAGCCCGTCTACGGCACACGGGATGCGCCTCGCGGTTTCTTCAAGCGCCTCCACAACGTTGCCATCAAGCTGGGACTCCGAGCTCTACCTCACGAGCATGCGGCATATGTGCTTCAAGATGCCGATGGAGTACAAGGAATGATGGTGGCTCATGTGGATGACCTGTTGTGGTCAGGCACTGAAAAGATGGATGCTATCATGGAGGCCATCACCAAGGAGTTCAAATTCGGCAGCCTGGAGTTCGGCAGCAAGTTTGACTACTGCGGCCGGACGATATCGCAAGAAAGCGGTGGGATACGAATCACGTGTCCTAATCATGCATCTAAAGTGCGACCTATCTACATGGATCCGTGGAGGAGAAGGCAGAAGGACTCGCACATCACCGAACCCGAAAGGGAACAGTTGAGGAGCGTGGTTGGAAGCTTGAGTTGGATGGTCCGAGTTTGCAGGGTAGATGTGGCCTATGAGGTCAACTACCTGCAGGCAATGATGCAGAAGGCTGTGGTCGGAGACCTCATAGCCTGCAACAATCTGCTCTCCTACATCAAAAGGACTCCGGAACGAGGCCTCTTCTACGAGTACAACGCCTTCAAGGAGTCCGAGCAGGTGATCTACAGCATCACGGACGCCTCGCACGCCGCGGATTTCGACGTCTCCGTCAACGGCATCCCTCTCGGCAGTCGCTCCCAGTCAGGGCGGATCTTGGCATTGGGATCCCGATCTCTCTTGGATACCGGCAAGGGGACTCTACACATCATCGAGTACCACTCCAATGTCCTGAAGAGAGTCTGCCGAAGCACTCTCCAAGCGGAGACACTGAGCCTGATCTCAGGCTACGAGGAAGCGGAGCATCTTCGAGCCCTACTGTGGGGTGTTACTCACGACTACCACAGCCCCAACCTCATCGAGGCGATGGACAACACCCTGTTGGTGATGATGACGGACTGCAAGAGTCTGGAGCAACATCTTCGTCAACCCGGACTAAGCACAGTGGCCGACAAGCGATTGGCGATAGATCTCAGTGCCATGAGGCAGCTGATTTGGCGGCGGAAGGGAGAACTTACGGGTGATCCTCTACTCACCGATGAACCTCCTGACGACGCTACTACCCTCGTGAAGTGGATAGACACCGCCACCATGCTAGCCGATGGCCTCACTAAGAAGATGCGCAACCTCCAGATCGACAAGGCTATGCTGAAGGGCACGGTAGAGGTAAGCTACGTAAAGTTGGGCAACAGCAAAGCTGAGGCCAAAGAAAAGACAGGGATGTGAAATCTCTGGTATCTTGCAGGTATCACACAGATGCCATGTACATGTGAGACGCCTTGACCACAGCTTTGCTGTCACGCGACTGGCTCAAGCGAGCGCAAAACATCTTCGACGTTGCCAGTGCATTCTTGCATTGGGTTTTGGGTTTGGCGCGTGTAGGAAGTCGCTCGAGTTTGAGGCTATAGCACTCAGCAACAGAAGCAGGAGTAGCAACTGATGAGTTAGCAACAGTACTGTATTCGTAGCAGTCGAAATAACAATAATAGTAGTAATTAGTAGTAGTAGTAGGAGTAGTAGTAGTAGTAGTAGTAGCAGCAGCAGTAGCAGTAGTAGGAGTAAGTAATTAGTAGTAAGTAATTGTTGTGGTTGTGGTTGGGGTTGTGTGGTTGTGGTTGTGGTTGTGGTGGTGGTGGTGGTTGTGGTTGTGGCTGTCGTTGTCGTCATCGTCCTTGTCGCTGTTGATGTTGCTGCTGCTGCTGCTGTTGCTGTTGCTGTTGCGGTTGCTGTTGGTGCTGTTGGTGCTCTTGTTGGTGTTGTTGGTGCTGTTGGTGCTGTTGGTGCTGTTGGTGTTGTTGGTGTTGTTGGTGTTGTTGGTGTTGTTGGTGCTGTTGGTGCTGTTGGTGCTGTTGGTGTTGTTGGTGCTGTTAGTGTTGTTGGTGTTGTTGGTGTTGTTGGTGTTGTTGGTGTTGCTGCTGTTGCTGCTGCTGCTGCTGTTGCTGTTGCTGTTGCTGTTGCTGGTGCTGGTGCTGGTGCTGTTGCTGTTGCTGTTGCTGTTGCTGTTGCTGTTGCTGCTGCTGCTGGTGGTGGTGCTGCTGCTGATGCTGCTGCTGCTGCTGCTGCTTCTTCGGCTTCTGCTGCCGTTGCTGCTGCTGATTGCTGTTTGCGGTGGTGGTGGTCGCAGCAGCACCAGCGATGGTGGTCGCGGTCGCGCTCGTCGTGCGGCAGCAGCAGCTTCGCCGAATATCTGAGTGCACTTCCAGATTACATACCGCAGAAGCCTGAACATACCGCAGAAGCCTGAACATTCAGGTCTGCTGCTTCTAAGGGTTCAACACGTCATAGCTGTTGCATAATATGCGCCAAATAGCTGCTCTGGTGAATAAGGCACCTATTTTGCAAAAGAACTTGCTTGACCATGCGGTTGCTGGCGATGGGACTTCTTCTCATGGGCAGCCGATGCATTCAAAAGCCATGATTTGTGCTGCTGCGCCCAACGACGGAAGCCCTACAGTAACACTTAAACCCCAAGCTGCAAAATGAAACCTTGAAATGGGGTCTGAATTAATTACTAGGTAGGCCCTTGGGACATTTTATATTTTCCCTTATTGGGTCTAAGAGGATCTTATTTACGAATATTTTTCAAAGGCTTTAAAGGGCCAACCTAGATTAAGTCCAATCGCCCTAAGCTGAAGTCCAACGGCCCCGCAGCCGTAAGCTCCAAGAAGAAAAGACTCACCAAACTCCTGAATCCAAAAAGCACTGAATCTCAGTTCCCTGAGCCGTCAACCCTCGAATCCCGAAAGCCCTGAATTCGTCAGTTCATGTGACTTAAAAGGTGAAGATACGACTTCGGGCAGAGGGGTTTAGGGTTTAGAGTTCAGGGTTAAGCGGTTGCGGAAAATCCCAACCCCTACACCCCAAACTTCCCACGAGCGACATGCGATTACATCGCCAACCTACCATAAACTCGGTAATTAAGTCTCTGGGACATTTACATTTTCGCCTATTGGGCATACGAGGATCTTATTTCGAAATCTTCCTCAGACAAACTTTCAGAAAGCCTTGAGCAACGAAACTCAAGGTCCATCACATATCCAGAACCTTCCGCACATGGTGGGTTTTTAAGGTTTAGGGTTTAGAGTTTTAGGGTTCAGGGCTTTAGGGCTTAGTCAGGGGTTAAGGGGTTAAGTCAAGGGTCTAACCTAAACCTTAAACCCGGTTTAGGGTTTAGGGGTCTGGGGTACGGGGTTTTACTTTAGACAGGTAGATTCTTGCTTCTAACCCCAAGTTTGACCTTAAACTCCTAGACTTGCAACGGCCCCGAGGTTGGGGTTTAGGGTTTAGTGCCTAGCCTCCAAGTAGGTCCAAAAGGCTAAGCCATGTGGAAATTGTCACTAGCCTGTCTTCGAGCCTGTTACACCTACTGGAGAATCAGTATTTCAAGGCACCTGGAGCATCCAAGTGGCCTCTAACTACACGTGGTGAGGGTTGTAGGTTGCTAAACCCTAAACCCTAGATCCTAAAGCCCTAAACCCTAAACCCTAAACCTTAGGGTTACAGACATTATGACCTTAAGCCTCCACAAGCTCTACGATGCCCGGAGGCTAAGTAGCAGAGTTTGGTGCTTTGGGTTGTAGACTTCAGGGTTTAGGGTTTAGGTACCTATACGTACCTTATTCAGGGCTTCTGGCATCATGGATTCTACAATGTAAGGTTCTATACCAGGGTCTCCAGTCAGGGGACTGCCTCTAAACCCCAAAAGCTGAAGAATTTTCCGAACCCGAGGAATTCGGTGCCCAAAAACCATGATATGGATAATTCTTGAGGGTTTGATTCCAGGATTCCACATGAAATAAGCTCTCCTAGGCCCTCAGAGCCTGTGCAATACCCCGACCCATTCTTCATGAAGCATGAACTCGAGACGCAACCCTAAACCCTAAACCCTAAGATTCAACGAGCTCCAAGGGTGGGATGCAGGTAGGTGGGCTAATACAGGGGCCTCAACAATTACTACCTATACTATTTTTTGGGGTTCCTTATTATAACTATAGTATAATATACCCCAAAACCCTGTCCTAATTGTTAAGGCCCCTGTATCAATCCCAGAATACGAGTATCCTTTGTTTAAGGGATCCTTTCTCCTGCATTGCTTCATCCCACCTTTTTGAGGCCTCCAGTTTGGATGGAAGCTTGAATTAGGGTTTAGGGTTTAGGGTTCCTAGTTTAGTTATACTGGGTTGAGGGTTTAGGGTTTAATATTGTCGAATTACTTAATTCCCCCACACTGACCCTCCAAAGTCCTGAACCGAAGCCAGACACGACCTGCACGATCCCCTAAGCCTGTTCACTAAATTAGAGCCCCCGTTTGGGGTGCCCAACAGAGTACGGCACTCTTCTAAAATGGACCCTAAAAGGGATCCTAGGTTGGAGAACTACCCATGCGATGGTGCAGGTTTACCGCCGAACAGGCGCTGAACCACGAGTGGGTTGGAAGCCCAGAGAATAAAGCACAGGGTGCGTGATGCAGACTGAGTGTTGAGACCAGTCGGAGTGCATAGTTCAGGTAAGGCACGGGCGTTCGGAGCTTTTGGGACCATGTTATTTATGTGGGGGGTTTCCGAAAAAATAGTACCTCAAATTGTAGGATCCTTATTGCAAGGACCCGAAAATTTAAACCCTAAGCCCTAAACCCTAAACGGTGGAGAAAGAAGGGCTACTACACTTAAAAAAAACCCTAAAACGGTACCCCTTATTTTCCGAAACTCCCATGTCGAATTCGGAGTTCTGGCTTTCCGGGTTTGGGAGTCGCAGGTTTCATCGTGGCTGCGTAGGCTTTCTAAGGGCGCCTGCTGGGCTTTCTATGGCTTTGGGTTTAGGGGTTTAGGGTTTTGGGGTTTAGGGTTTAGGGCTTAGGGGTTTAGGGTTGTGGAGTTTAAGGTTCAGGGGTTTAGGGTTTTGGGGTTTGGGGTTATAGGGGTTTAGGGTCTAAGGTTTTGGGTTTAGGGGTTTAGGGGTTTAGGGGTTTAGGGTTTTGGAGTTTAGGGTTATAGGGGTTTAGGGTTTAGGGTATCGGGGTTTAGGGTTTTAGGGTTTAAGTAACGGGTATCGGGGAATACTGCCAAGGCAATTTTCAAAAGCCCATGGATGAGTCAATGAGCCAGAGGAGCATTCTGAACCTAACACCCTGCATCCACATGAGGTCCTGAAACGCCACACGCACACACACACACACACACACACACACACACACACACACACACGCACCCCTCAACAACTCAAGAGTAGCAGTATTTGTACTCAAGCGACAGAACCAGCATTGAGGGCTTTTAGGTTTGGGGTGTAGGAATTTTGATGGCGTGATTACGATTACCTGAGATTTAGGAATTGTCTGGGCAGTTGATACCCCTTATATAGTTTAAAGGGATCGACCTTAAATTATAGGTGGCCTAAGGTAAATTCCTCAATTAAGGAATATACCTGAACTTATAGCGGGGCTAACTGTTATGGCGTAAGGTAGATTCCGTAAGATTTGTTTTAAAACGAGGTATTGGCTTCATGGGGCCTCTTTGGGTCCACCACCCTTTGCTTGAGAGACCCGGTCGATACCCTAAACTTAGGGTTTAGGGTTCAGGGTTTAGGGATTAGTGTTTGGGATTGAGGGTTTTTGGTTTAGTATAGCTTATATAGTGCTTAAAGCCTAAAGCTCGCAAAAAAAAAAGACCAAGCCCTACAACCCAAGAGCCTCACGGAAGCCTTCTAGATCCCGCAAAGAAGTGCCCTTCTCAAATACATCCGTAACCCTAAGCCCTAAGCCCTAAACCCTAAACCCTAAACCCTAAACCCTAAACCCTAAACCCTAAACCCTAAGCCCTAAACCCTAAACCCTGGACTGAATACATGCGAGTGCCTAGGTGCGAGACAGAGCCCCGCGGGCCACCAACGTTCCTATAGGAACCGGCTACCTGGCTTTCCGAGTCTTTTTGGGGTGCAGGGTTTACGGTTAGGGTTGAGGGTTTAGGATGTTAGGAAGTTAGGGTTTAGGGTCTTTGGTCTAGGGTTGAGTGTTTTGGGGTTCAGGGTTTCAGTGAGAGTTTGAGGATTTGAGGTTCCCCTTTTGGAACTATTTTTCCGAGTCAGGGTTAGCTTAGGGAGCCCACTATCCGTTAAAGAGAAAGCATACCTTAAACCTTGGAAGGATGCTTAATGTAGAAGCCTGAATAGTGAGAACGGGGCTTTGGGGTCTATTATAAGGGGCCCCCAAAATAGCATAGCAAGTATTAAGG